GCCCTGATGCGCCGCGCGGTGTCCGTGGCCACCCCCACCATGATCAGCACGCTCGTGCCCGCAAACCCGCGGAAGGCGGACAGGTGGGTGATGCCCTCCACTGCCGCGGGCGCGGCGCTGAGGGCGCCCAGGAAGACCGACCCCAGGATGCTCATGCGCGTGAGGGTGGAGGTGACATACTCGGCCGTCTGCTTGCCGGGGCGGATGCCGGGGATGGCGGCGCCGGTGCGCTTCAGCTGCTCTGACAGGTCCTTGGGCTCCAGCTGGGGGGGTGGTTTTGGGGGGGGGGCGGACAATTGGGGTTGGTCAGTTGGTTTTTGGATCAGTTGGTTAATTGTTTGGAAGGGAAGGTATAGGCGTGCAGTGTTGCACGGATGGGGTCGGTGGGGCAAAAAGTGAGGGTAGCCAAGCGCGGGTGAGGGCAAAGCACCACCCTATGTCTGCGGCGCTGCATGGCGCGCCACATGCGGTAGCAGCCCACCCCTGCGCAGCCCACCAACACACAATGACAAGACATTCCCAACCCCTCCTCACACCCCAACCCCTCAAAATATACACACCTGCAGGAAGGTGTAGTAGTAGTTGAAGAAGGCGATCATGGCCACACTGGCCGGGAGGTACAGCGCACCCCCCGGCCCCACAGCGTTGGCCACGCCGTCCAGCGCGGTTGAGTCGGTGAAGCGCGCCAGGGCCAGGGGCAGGCCCAGCAGCGACGACGCAAAGATGAGGGGCATGACCCCCGTGGCGTTGACCTTGAAGGGCAGGTAGCTCTGGCGCGCCAGGGCGCCGGCCTGGTAGCGCCCGCTGTAGTTGATGGGGATGCGGCGCTCCGCCTCCTGCAGGGTGCCATGGGTTTGGTTGGGAGGGGTGCGGTGGGCTGAGATGGTGGGTTCAGGTGTGATGAGTGTTGTGCTGAGCGGGGGTGCGTGTTGCGGGACGTCTTCAGCCGTGGCCACGGCGCAGAGCTGGCGCCCTGAGATGCGCCCCTGAATGCCTGGTTGCCCTCGCAAAGCAACCATCACCCCGACCAGGTTCAACCGACTGACAAGCAGCCTGCCCGCCTGCCCACACCCCAGCCCCCGCCCCACCTGCACGTAGATGATGCCGAGGGTAGTGAGGAAGAAGGCCGCGGCGTACACGGCGATGTTGGCCGGCTCGTCGCTGGCGTTCTGCGCCAGCAGCGCCCCCACGCTGGCCGGCAGGCTGGACGCGATGCCGGCAAAGATCAGCACGCTGGTGCCGTTGCCCTGCGGCAAGGGGGAGAGAGGGGGCACCGGGCAGGCGCGGCGTCAAGGGCAGGGTGAAGAGCCACGCGCCTGCGCCAACGCTCTGATTCAAGCCCTCTGCGGGCGCCACCGGGTGGGTTTCAATGCGTGGATGCGTTCGCACGCCTCTTATCCGCCGCATTGACCCCCCCGCCCAGCTGCCTCACAGGCTTGCGTGCTCCCGCGCGCTCCCTGCTTCTTAGCAAAGCTCTCAACGAAGCCCCTGACTCCTCCAAGACTCACTTGCGTTGCCCGCATACAATGGGCGCAGCATCACGTCATCCAGGAGCACTCCCCTCCCTCGCCCCCTCCCCTCGCCCCCTGCC